TCAGGAAATTACACCTGCAGAGCAAGTAATTTTAACGGCTCGGATACGAAAACTCTTCTAGTTCACACCGAGAGTGAGTATATGTTGTTGTTATTTAACGCGCAATGTGAGCAAAAGATGCTAATTGCGCGCTAGACAAAATAAAATTTGTCAATACATAGGATTAACTCCACCACCCCCTCCCCCACATCCACACCCCAAATTAAACCACTCCAAGAGCGTTGATAGGATATGTGAGGGAAGTAATGAGAGACAAATGCTTGAGATGAAAATTGTGCTGCAAATAATGATTGCAAATTTTATGAAGCAGCATATCCAATCTATAGATGCGGATTAGAATTGCCCCCCTCGGCCACTAGGAAACCAAAATACTAGTTCCACCAAATATATAATTTTTTAAAGGACATATAAACATTTCATGGAAAGTATTTCCGTATGGTATTTACGCACGAGTTGGTAGTGTCGGAGGTCGAACGAGTGAGCGCAGCGAACAAATGAGATTTCTGATACAAACCGACGAGAGAAAAATTTTTAAGTAAACAGCCAAAATCGGCCTGTGGCAAATCTTCCAGTTTTCAATTTTCGTTCTTAACCGCGAAAAATGCCGTTATCAAAGCCACTGAATAAGTAAATTTCGGTGTTTCTTTTCGGATTTTGGTTTTCTTCTCCCTCTAGGAAATTTATTTCCTAGAAAGCTGAGAGACGTGTCAGCAGCTTATTGGCGATATCAAACACAAGCGAAAAAACCATCGTATTTTTTCCCGCGCGTTGTTATGGCTTTTCTCAAGGACGAAAATCTTTTTACAACACCGCAGTTTGTATGATAAATGAAAAACCCTTCTCATTAAAGCGAGTAATATCTCCCTGTCACATTGCCTAGGGGATTGCAATAACCTTTGGAATGTTGCTCTCACCATCTCTTTGCTTTTCCTTCGCAGGGTGCTCTCATTTTTGCAGCTGTCACAAACTGAAATCACATCCATTCTGGTTTCGAGTTGACTGTTGGGCTTCCTTCGAAAGAACAGTTCCGAGGGAAATTCCTCTCGCCACAAAATATTTGTAAGTTTGAAATAATTATTTCAGTTGTATCACAAAGTGTACTCCAAAATGTGAAGGCCAAGTGTCATTTCACAGTGTTTTTCGATTCCATGTTTTTCATAATTGTCATTTTTTTCATTTAATTCTAGGTTTTTTACTCGTACCTATTTGAGGCATATTTATCCAAAGTCATTTGAAAACTTAACTTACCTGAAATACTTGTAAGTATAACCTGATTGAATTCAAATACGATCTCAGTCAAATTATTTACATTTTAGTTACTCATTAAAAAAAGGATGAATAAATATGAACAACAACTAATGATAGTAAATATTATGATTTCTTGAAGTGTGCGTTTATTCTTCTATTGTCACAGATCGATTACGTATAATTTTAATCTGTTGAATTTGACGAGAAATGCGTTCGGAGGACTTAAGCAACTCAAGTACTTGTAAGTAGAAGAACTAAAAGGGTTATTGCAACAACAACGATTTTAGGTTGAAGTAACATCAGTGGCAGTAATGAGTCGCAGTAAGAAGGAGTAATTGCAAATATTTATGAAGCATCGTAATCTGTAAATTATTATTATAATTTAAAATGAAGAAAGTAGTACTAGAATTTTAATATACGTCGTCGACCAAGCGCCAGGTCGACTTTTCCGAGTTCTTTTTAGGCATTTTTATGTACCAAGACGAAGCCGTGGTTCATTATAAGGCAAAAAAAAATGAACAAGGGTAATATCCAGCTATCTTGACCGACCAAGCTTGCTCAATAAAAATTTTTCATATATTAAAAAAATTCCTTCCATTACGAATCAAAAATGATTGTCTTCTGCCTCTTTTGCGACTCCATCACTAGCACTGTCCAAAAATTACGAAATTTGTAAGTTGGCTTTACGAAATGTTTTCTATGCGTGGGATCAAAGCGGAGAGATCCCGAGCAGAAGAGATGGGCTTATCTCACCCGCTCGAGTAGCCGATCAGAACACAGGATTCGCCTCATGTTACCCACGCGCGCTTCCAGTGATGTAGTTAATATGGTTATTAGTATCGTTTTGATTGTTGCCATCGTAATAATATAATCCATGTTTGCAATTAAAAAAGAGCGATGTTATATAATTATAGAAGTGGGGAAAAAAAGGAGATTTTGCAGCCGCTCGACAGTATCTCCGTTGTTAGGTTATACCAATCTGTTATCACACGAGCCCATGCAAATTCTACTTTACTCTTTGATTGTGGGTTATGCTAACGTTTGATTGTTTTTTGAAATACAGGGAAATTAGCCATCATTATTTGTTGGATATCGAAGAGGGAACTTTTAATGATCTGACATCTTTAGAGTTTCTGTAAGTATCCTCCCCCCCCCCCCCCCCTTCTTCCCCACCCCTTTCCCCCCCTTCCCCTCTTGGGCATGAGTGGATCATCAAAAATTCCAACCCAATTGGGTAAGAACATACCGCCCACCCTCGTATCCCAAAGACATAACTCGTGATATTAACGTGTAAGTATCTTTGGAAAGTGTTATTATGCTAATGTTCGCACCATCGTGTCTTGCGTACAATGATCTGTTGTAATGAGATAATATGAAATTCTCTGAATGATATTTGCCGTGATGGTGGTTTTGATAACAAATAGATTTTTTGGAACCTTTGTTAGTATTTTAGCTTTCTTTATTTTCAAAGGGCATATCATTATCTTCCAGCTTTCTGGAAAGCAATAGGATAAGTTTCTTACGACCGAACGTCTTTACTGGTCTTTTGTCTCTTCGAGAACTGTAAGTACATATTACCAAGAGATTCGTCGCGCCTTTATTCGTTGCTAGGGCAGTAGCTCTGCCCTTCGCTGATGGATGGCGGGCTTAGTTCTTTTCTTCTTTTCAATGCGTTTCAAAAAGCCTTCTTCAAATTTGAAGTGAGTAAATAAAGCTAACATTCCAGTGCATGAAAGATTGACGACAGGAATTGTTATAATTCGAGTTAAAATGACTTTATACTCGGGTAACGACCACAGTAAACTCGCCCTCAGACGGCAGCAGGGATTAACAGAAAATAATTTGTGGATTTCTGTGAGTTACAAT